TTATTCAATACTATAACTCTTTTTTTACATAACTAGAAGAACTTTTTTGTAATTGTTACACTAAGTTACTTGCAAAACAAAACTTAATTTTGATTAGTTAACTTTTAAAAAACAAAATTTTTAGTTTTTTATTAATTTTTTAAAATATTAAATCAAGTAATTATAAAAATTATTACAAATAAGTTATATAAATCCTAACAAAATCTACTTATACTCTTTTATTATCAAAACTAACCCTAAACCCTAATCTAACTACAGTATTAAAAAAAATGCTAAAAAAATACATCCCAAAAATTTTTGAAAATTTCAAGCTTCAGTCACAACATTTATTTATTAAATATCAGATCATAAATGAATTTTGACTCAATTATTCAATTAATAAAGGTGATTTTAATTAATATTCAACTTTTACAGTTAATTCGATTGTTGATATTTTATAGGAGATATAATGGTTATTGCACGTGAATTTTGAAGTATACTAGCATATGATGAGCCACGTATGGTAGTAGATAATTTGTGTATTTTGATAGTTTTAAGAATTTCATCCACAATTTCATTCTGATGAAAAATAAGTTAGAGTAAAGGTCAAATTGTTATAAAGTAAAGATGTTTTTTATTTTATATATTACTCTAAGATATACCCAAAGTTTTTTAATCAGATTATGAATATGATCTTGGAAACCTTTACTTTTTCAATATAGAACTGCTAGAGAACACCACAAATTTACGACATATACCAGGGGAAAAGGCTTATTTAAAATGTATATATCCAGAGTGGTTTTTAATTAATATTGGTATATTTCATAAGCTTGTAATCTAAACTTTAAAAGTTTTGTGAAAAAATATTCTTACCGTGTGTGTGTACTTCAAAAACTTTTATAGTTTGAATGATGTTATATATCTCTTTGTTAATCATCCCACTGCAAAATTTAAGAATTCTTGAAATACGAAGATCAAGGATATCTTGCATTTATTCTTATAACACTTATCAAGAAGAGGCTCAAAAGGGTTTCCAGAAAATTCTCCCACAATTATCTCCCATTTTTCTTTTTTCCAATAATCTTGCCACGTGATGTTAAAATCAACTTCATGGCCTGGCCTTTCTTCCTGATTTAAATAAATTTATTATTAATCACATTCTATAAATTAAATTTGATTATTAATCACATCAGTTTTTTTAACAACGTTCATATGTGCTTTGGAAGCAATTAAATAATATTCAGCCCTAAAATTAATCTTTAAAGTTAAGTACTATATTATTATAGTTGTTGTATTTTTTATTTTATTTTATTTTTGGTATACATACCAAGAAATTTTTATATTAGGAACAGAATCAAATAATGGTTCAAGAAAAATTGATAATACTTTAACTGTCCACGTGTTTTCATTAATAGATGTGTCAAAAGGCTTGATTATTTCATAATTAAGGATTCAGGAACTATTTAAACATAATTGTTATTAAAGTAAGTATATAAAAATCACTTTATAAGTAACATACAATCCTCTAATAATGCATTTAATATATGGTATTAATTTCGTTATTTTTTTGAAAGCACTTTCACTCTTGTCAGAGATATCATCAATGCTGGTATTGATAGTAGTAGTATTTGAATTTCTGATATTAGTACTGATATTGGTGCTTATGATAGTATTATCAGTATTGTTGGTATTGTTAGTATTATCAGTATTGGTATTGATAGTTTCAACCACTAATATAGTAATTGTCAAAGCCTCAAGCATAGTATTGAAATTAATACATTCTATTGGTTGTATGACCTCGTTATTGATTAAAAATGAATTTGTTTAACTTGCGAAAGTGTTAATATAAACAAAGGAATCTTCTGTGTTTCATTCAGGAAATTAATATCTTCTATAGATAAGATT